TTTGAAATACTTCAGTAAAAGGCGTACACAATTTCATAATGAGGCTTTCAGGATTACGAATGTGGGTTACCAAGATGTTGGATAGTTTGTGTTTAAAAGAGTTGGGGCTCTTTCAGAACTACGCGTTGTGTTTCTTTTAATACTTAACAACTTAAACAGATTTTCCCGTGGTATTTGTGAAGTAGGTATCTCTTATAGCTGTAGCAGCTGGAGACTGTTTATACTTTGTACACCCGCTCAGCCCGTTGCAGAGCTCCCGTCACGGAAATGCACTTTCCGGAAAGGCCGTGAAGGTTGCGAGCGCCTACAGCGAGTGGGCGTGCTGGGAGCAGGGAAGCGTAGCACCTTGCCCAGACCCCCTCCCCCCCCCCTATCCCTCCTGTCTACCCTTTCCCCGCCTTCCCGCGGCTTCGCTGCTCAACGATCAATTAAAAAATAAATGGAATAAAACCAGAAATCAGTACCGTCAATGGTTTAGGTTTGTCGGGGAAACGTCGCAAATTTTCTTTTCTGGAAATTGAAGCTCTTTTGTGTGATTTTTGACAATTCTTGCTGAATAATTTGCCTGAGGCATTTGAGTTTTCCGGTCAGCCATGTCGACATGCACGTTACTGTCATGAACCTCGTCAGAATATTAAAATGATATGGGAAATGAAACTTGTACGACCGTTCATGTACACCACTCGAGTTCTTGTTTAATTTATAAAAAATAAAACTTGAAATTAGTTAACATCTTTGCAATGTCCTGACAGTATAGTTAGCGAGTATTCCCCATAATCTGAATTTGTGATTCATGCTCCCTAGTCAGAAATAAGATAGGGGTGTTGAATAGTTGAAAAAGGTGCTTATTGTGGAAAGACAAATCAATCGAGAAGTTGCCCTAGAAAGACGTCGAGACTAACGTGTCCAAAAGATAGACGGAAAACTTGAAAATTGTCGCAATCGATAACCGTGTTTAAAATGGAAGATTATCCCTTGCAGAGGAGTGCAGTAGGAACACGGAGGACGTGCAGGATAGCAAAAAATCTGAAACCAGTGCCAGCTTTGTTTTCTCTTACGGCTAGACTGTCGCCTTCCATCCACACACGCAACAAGACCTCGACGCCACGCAGAAATCCCGGCCTGCATCTCTTCGTGCCCGCCTCCGCTGCGCCTGCGCCGCCGCCTCCGGCTTAGCACTTGTTTGCGCGCTCAGCTGAAAGGTTTCCCCGGTCCCGCCGCCGCGAGGGGCGCGCGTAACCGAGCCCGTTGGTGGGAGGGGTGCTGGGGGAGGGCGGGCCGAGTGCAACGGGGCACCCGCTCGCTGCGCCGCGCCGCGCACGAAGCCCCCGGCGGAGCTGCACGCCGCAGAGCGGCCTTTCCCTCTCGTGTGACATTCGTAGAACAACATATTTATGCAACAACATAGGAAGTAGGGTCTCATAAGAACTAAACAAACATATTGTTGCTCCTGGAAAAACGACTAAGTGAAGAGAATGGAGAATGCTATTTCACAGCTGAGACATAATAATTATTTTCCTTTGTATACTGCTTGTTAATACACCATTATCACAACTAGTTATCATTAAGGTTCAGTTCAGATGCCAATTCTAAGTAAAACTCTAATTGTAAGTAGAGGTGTTGGCTTCCGGTTGATGCCGCGTTAAAGGCTGGGTTGCCGACCTTTCGACCATCTTGTCGTGGTCATCATCAGGGCTGGTCTGCACTGACGAAGACCACGAGAAGATGATCGAAACGTCGGCAACCTAGCCTCCAACGCGTCATCGCCCGGACAGCCAAGATCCCAACTCTGGCTGCGGAAGCCTGCGACTTTCTAATTGTAAGTAGTTTCTTACTACAAGTGCACAAACTCATTTTCATAAAAAGTGCTCATTGCCTGTTTTGGAGACGTCTTGATATGAGTTAAAACGAAACGACTGTTCAAAACAAAACAAAACTAGTGAAAACAGCTCGTATTTTATCGCCTTTAATACTGTTTATATAATACTATTTATATCGCAATTTCTCTCTCCGAATTATTACATCTCAGGCATGGTTTTCATAAAACTGAAATTTTCGAAAAATTATACATGACCGTATTTGAAAATCTATCTTTAGAAAACAGATTTCATTCACGGAAAAGTCTCTATCTTTAGTATTTTAGTTGTAGGAACACGCCAAAAACGAATTCAGGGGGCCGCGACATCAGTCGGATTGATTGGGAATTATCAGTTTTGGAGAAAATGGGCTGAATGGTTTAGTCGCTTTAGATCACAGACAGAGGTGTTGCCGTCCATAGAATGTTCGTTAACCAGAACTTACAAAACATGTATTCTGGCTGTATCACGTGTTAGAGGATTTTTTTCTAAATTTAGCTACTGGATATATCCACTTTTTTGTTACCATGGCCCGGCAATAAAAGTTTTTCTACCGAAAATTCCCAGCTTTTTCCCGCAGTCTTTCGTAACTTTCTCTTCTTAAGAATTACCTTAAGGGCGAGAAAGTAAAAAAAAAAATTCGTAGTAAACGCAGGGCCACTGTAAGATATTGAAATTTCTCAATTGTTGGAACTGTACTCCGACTGCATGTGTTTGTGTTTATTTGGGTCAAATAGTATGTGTAAGACTATATCTTCGAAAGCTTAATCTTAAATAGCAGATTATGATGTGTGAGATTGGTGCTGCGATTGATAAAATAGTACTTAAATGTGATTGATATTATCGGTAGATAGCGAGAATTGTTTTTCATTAATTTAAACTTAGCCTCCTGTAGCTCATGTGCATGCCCATTCATCTTCAGTACGAATAGTCCAAGTTGAAACTGTCATGTGTAAATTTAGCATAATGTATTACCATATGAGGGTAGGTTTTGGAATGTCAAAATAACGAAGTAAAGCAAAAGATAGGAGAAGCATTTCTGATCACGAAGATATTACAGTTACATGTTGGATCCCACCTGCGATATTAACTTTTAATGTACCTTCATGATTCGAAATTTCATGAAGATAAACCTCGATATTGGAGTCACAGATACACGTTTATTAAATTTACATTGCTAATCGTATTCGCCTGTAGCCGTTACATCGTAACGGCATAAGTACATCATTCTCGTGACAACTTCGAAGATTTCCTTAATAAATTAACTTGATCGAACCACGCTTTGAATCACCTAGTCTTGATACACAGCTGCAGTAAATCGAAGTAATTTTCAGGTCATTTCTTTTCAAGTCAGTATGCTGTGTGTGGCCTGCAGAACAAGCTGACAGAACTGTAGGTCTTAGAAGGGAATCACATCAAGAGCGTATTCATTAGTTATCAGCGGAAAAATAAAGTAAAAAAACTATTTCAAACCCCATAAAGTTATTCACGAATGAAAGTCACAACTAAGGTTTTACACTCGTATTGAAGAAAATTCATTCCAAAGAGATAACTCGAATAGCAACGTGTTCGTTGTCGGAGGAAATTAAAAAGCACACCATCAACGAGGATGTACAGGTTGACTTGACGAATGGTCCCCGCGGCCATCTGTTGTCGATTATCTCCGGCTCTTCATTTCGAAGGTGGCCGACCACCGGCGGAGAGGGCGCCGCCGAAAGGTTCCGTCGATGTTGATGGAAGGGGGCGGGGGCGCTCGCTGGCTTTAAAAGGCCCGGGCGGCGGGGTCGCGTTGCGGTGGCGCGGCGCGGGTGCGCGGCCGGATCTGACGTCACCGAGCTCGCGACGTGCTCTGCGGACGTCCGCAGCGCCGCCGAGGCGGTGAAGGTGACCCCGGTGCCGTTGCTCGCCTAGTGGCTGGTGACGCCGCGGGCCGGGGTTCTTGCCTAGGCGACGCCGGCGCGCGGACACCGCATTCCGCGCTGCCTGCCAGCCCTCCGTTCGACTCTCGGGAGGCTCCTTGCGAGTACTGCTCCAGACATGCTCCGGAGGAGGATGTTATACATTGTGAAAGGTCAAAAATTTAATTTTGTATCAATTTCGTCCTGAACTAGATTTGAAGTTTCGAATATTTGCCTCCTCGAAAGCAAAAATATCCTAGTTGACATTAGCCATACTTATGTATGGAATTTTTGTCCGTAACACATTGTCGAACGTTTATTAATCGCTGAGAGAAAAAAAAACCTCTCAGATACTGTATGTGGTAATATAAGATAAATTATGTCAATTTTGGTTTGCAGAAGTATGGAGAATTGCTCGTATTCCACTTTATGTTTCCCTCTAAAAATGTTCGCAATTCACTTTCTCAATTAATTTGTTCTTAATTTTAGGAGGAATGGTGCTTGTAACCAGAATCATTAACGAATTTTACGGTGTTTGAACACAGTTTTGTAGATGTACATGAAATCAAGTCAAACTCTAAGGCTGAGAAAACATGAATGTGAGTCTTGTTGAGAGGATTGCCATATTTATTCGCATGGTGTAGCGTGACATATTTTCATATGTGCATAATATTCATGCCAAAACTACTTTCTTTAACAGACCGCAAGGAATGATACCCCCTCTTCAAAGAAAAAGCTCCTAATTTGTTCGACGTGTGGTAAATCATGCCCAGTTACCGTGCAGTGCATCGTTGTTGCGGAATAACTTAGGATTACCAGTAATTTTCCGCGCAAGAAGTCATGTGAAAATTTCAAGGATCTGTTAAAGTATTCAGAATTCAAATCAGCAAGCAGCACTTACAAATTATACTTCTCTCTAGAAAGGTTCATTAATTTAATAATTGTCATCATCGCAGCAAATGTAATTTCACTCGTAAATCTATGGTGAACGGGGAATGCTACCTGACTGGCAAAGACATTAAGAACAACTCCGAAATGCATTTTTAGAAAATTTATCATTTTTTGTTCGGCCATTAGTGTTTTCTAGCTACCCATCTTTCGTAGTTTTTGTGACTACGAAGCCCATAAAGATCATAATAAGTATTGTGACGCCTAGGGAGATTGGTTAAGATAAACGTGAAATATTGAATGACTTATGTACGAAGTTTATATAGGATAAAATTAATGCGAGTATTTTATTTATAAACATGTTTATTGTAAAGCGTGCTGAAGAGCGAGTTTTCAGTACATCAAATTATAAATATGCTTTTACATTTTATTCTCAACTTTCTTCAGCTAATATTCACCATTTTTCATTTTGTATTGTTGATGTTTGGCTTATATTTCACTTTAAATTATTAAACCGGTAAACGTACAACAAAACGCAGTTTCTTTAAATTGCATTTACTGGAGACTTGCCTATCAGAAAAGGAAGGTTTTAAGAGTACTTCCATTTTTGCAAAGTAGAGGCCACTACTGCCACACACGTACATGCACGTACTTGTTAACCAGGCTTATGTTTATGTGTATGTTTATTTTTAAGACTTTCTTCTGAGTAATTGTGGATATCTCAACATGATACTGTTGTTCCGAAGAAAATTAGAAGAAACAGAACATTAGTTGTCAAGATAAGTACTACTTTTCCCTAATTTTACGAGGAGCATGAATACCTACAATTAAGTCGATATTACGTTCCGTTTAATGAAAATTCTGAAAAATATCACGGACGTAGATGCTTCTCCACCAATCATTACGCCGCATCTTGCAATTATCACATTCCGCGTACAAATGGAAGTTACCAAAGAACCGGGACAAGCTGAATGGCGAAGATGGAGCCCCGTGCCAGCGCTTCGTCGCCAGCCGCGCTCTTCCTTGTCGGGAGCCTCTGCAACCAAAAAAAAAAAAGCGTTGTGACACCGGCGCTCCCAAATAAAGGCAGCGCGCTGCCTCGGCCGAGAATTGAACAATGGGGATGACGGTGCACCGGGATGCGCCTTGCATAAGGCGGGGGACGACGCGCCAAGGGGCGCGACGAAAGACTGGCGCCTTCACAGCCGTCGCCGCCTGCATTACGGAGGCGCGGTTACTGCAATTTGCGCGCAGCATTCAAAGGACGAATCGTTCTCCTTTCAATTCCCAGGGAACTTTTCTCCTTTCGGAATTCACTGATTACATAAGGCTAATGGCTTTAGTGTGATCACAATTGACTCCTTAAGTCAGGGCTGTCAAGGTCGCGGACTAGGTAACAAGCTTACTAGAGCTCGCGGTCACTGCGTTCCGAGAAATTGGCGGGTAATTTAAAAGAAAGGGTTGTACAAATACTTCAGAGAGACGGGTACGTCACTGAGAACCTGTCCCATGATAGTCTTTACGAAAAGAGAGTTGGCAGTTGTTGACCAAAATGTATCTACATTAATTCCCATTCTTTCCTTGATGAAAAAAAAAAAAAAAATACATCAGACAGATTTCAATTTCTCAATTGACAAAATTTTTTTATAAAATTGAATCACAAGTGTATTAATTTTGCAATTATGTATACTTAAGACTGACATGGAAACACGGACTTTTTACGTTCAGGTTAGAAGGTTTAACAAATATTCTTGTCTGTTAAAAGCCCTGTCCGTCCGTAAGCGAGAATCGTTAATGTATTTCACACGCTAAATACAATACCTAACTGAATGATGTAATAACACAATATAAACGAAAACAAGGAACAGTTTCCATTTATCCGTCACTTAGCAAAGATGATTATATAAGGCAGAATTTAGTAAGAAAATAGATATCTAATAATAATAATAATAATAATAATAATAATAATTAGTAATAGTAGTAGCAGTAGTAGTAGTGAAGAATATAAACATAATACAATTCTCAGATAATTGATAGAAAAAATCTAGCAACCATATTTTCGTAAGAAGCCACTATTCCCCGCCTCGCGCCACTTCAGCTTGCGCATGTACACACTTTTCTGTATTTGAAGGGGAAATGAGAGCGGGGTCGGGGGAAGTTGCCCGTGCTCGCCGGAGCGCCGAGCTCTCCAGGCGGCCAAGTAGCTCATGCGGGCGCGGTTTGACGTGCTTGCTTTAAGTGATTCCACGTTCTCAGAATTTTGTCCTTGACATATTTTAGTTGTCATGCAGGATGGGTTGCAATTAAATCTCACATATGAACTAACTTATCAAGGAGAGATGACTGCGGGAAATACTCCTATAATATTTAAAATCTTCACGTTATCCTATTGATTCAAGAAAACAGTCAACAGCTTTAACCTGACATGAAGTAATTTAATAAAGCCCGTCCAAAATTTTAAGGATGTAATGACATTTTTGTGCCTTATCAATTTTGCAGGTAACGAAATGTTCGAACTTGCAGCAGCATCAATATTCGAATCTGTAAATAAGAGGCTAATGTATAAACTCAAGTATCAGTGTCTAGGATCAAAGTCTTTTTCTCACGACCTCTTGAGAGATAGTACAGCCTTACGCAGTATGTGCACATGGTAAACAGCTCGTATTATGCAGCAGATAATGTAGCTGCTGTCGTGAGCCGAGCCAGGCTCCCCGTGCCGTTGTCACGAGGCAAGTCCCCGGTTGCTCGTTAGCAGGGGCGGGGGCGGCCGCCGACAGCGAATAAAACGCTTTCTGAAGACGGCCCCTAGCGACGCCTCCGTCTGATCAGATTTTGGGCGCGAAGTGGCCTCGGGGAGCGCGTCATTAGCGCTGGCCGCGGACACTTGCCAGTTGCGCCGCGCCGCTGCCACGCACTGCCACGCACTGCTGCTTCTTCTGAAAGAAGGCATAGCGTCGTTAAGAGGAGAGGGAGTAGACTTTCGATGTGGCAATAAAACACTTGCTGAGGAAACACGGAAACTATTCACCCACGTTTCAATTGCTAAACGATTCATTTCCGAGCGGGATGTCATTTTTCTTTTAAATGGCGTAACATTTCCTATTTTTTAGTTGAGCAGAAAATACTTCGATTTTGTTTTGGTCACGATTTACTATCGTTCTCCACCTGCTGTGATTTTTTTAATGCCTAATATTTCTTTTCCAGTTTCATTATAACAGACAACTCGTTATTTACTGTCCAATTAGTAATTCAAGATTAATTAATCGCATTATCTATTTCAGCACCTCCTTCCATCGTTTTGCTTCTATCATTTCTAAGTCTGCCTCTTAGATATTCTTGAAAAACAATCTTCGCTGTGGTCTTTAGATGACTTACCATGTGTTCATAGCTAAATGTGATGCTCCGGGTGTCTCATCCTTTGCTGAAACTATTTTCTCCCGAATTACGGAAGTTCACGAAAAACGCGTGACTACTCACGAGCAATTCCAAGACTAGTTGGCGCATGGTTAGTTCATTAGCTTGTTAAAATCTAGAGGTCATTTCACTGGTGGCAACTCTTCTGACGACTTTTGTGTTTCACATTTAGATGGCACTGATTTTATATTCGGCAGATGTTTGCTCATATTCAACACATACACTTACTTCAGTTAGGAAGTTTCGAAATTGAACATTCAAGATAGCATAATGTACTGGTGTGTTTAATAGTTTAAAAATTGTAATATTCGAGCATTACAAGTATTATTATTATTATTATTATTATTATTATTATTATTATTATTATTATTATTACACATTTGTAATTTTGATATTGATATTCCTTCAAGTATTCAGTATGGTAATTCGTGGAATCATTTCAACTAAATAGCATTCTAGCAAAATATTCCTACCTAATGTATTGTTATAAGCGAAGGTTACTAATGTTACCAAGAAATATGCTGCTTATTTGCCCAAGTGACGATATCCCATTTCATCTCAATTTTAATTTCCCATCTTACGTAATGAAGACTTTCGAAGGAAGGTAACTGACACTCTTGTCTTTTTCTCTTCGAGAGCTATTTTTTTTTCCTTAACTTACACAGTTGCCTCTGAAATATCTGCTTAAAGCTTAATGTTAGCATGATTTATTTCCTAAAAAGTAGTAGTCGTGCATTGTAGAAGTCGAGCCAGGAAGCTGCGAATACATGGGGAAAATCCTACACCGCAATGAAGATTGGTCGGAATAATAGGAGGCCCAGTTGTTCTCATACACGGTATGCTGGCGTTTCCTCGGGCCGCTACAGATGTAATTTTTGACGCAGCTACATTCTCACGTGGGTCGTGCCTGCTGTCGGAGACGTCTGTTGCCTTTCAATTCAAAGCAGGCTGCTAGCTGCGTCCCCGGAAACGACTGTTCCTTGGGCGTCTGAGGTCTCTCTCCCAGTGGCGTTGCGGTTTTCCGCTGCTGCGGTAGAAAATTGAAGGACTTACGTTTTTTCGCAGAGGAATGCGATGACTGTTGGTTTTCCTTTCCAATGAGATAAGATGCACGAAGAAATGTTTCTTAACGTGAAGTACCAACAAATAATCCGATTACAGTTCCACACGGTTGCGAAAGTGACAAATCCGCCAATTGCGTCATATCGTATGTTTAACGTAATATAAACTATGCGTTTTGCCGTGTTTCATCGTAAACTCATCTAAAGACGCTCTAGCTTGTTCGTTTGTTTGAACACGCACGTTCAATTGTCGAAGTGTATATTTTTTATGTTGATAAGCGTATCGATCAGTTTCTTTGAAAAACGAAAAAAATTGACGTAGTTTTAGAGATATATTTATCCAGGTTTATCTAATAATAATAATAATAATAATAATAATAATAATAATAATAATAATATATTACTCAGTGTATCCTCATGCTGATTCTCAGATTGTTTTGCTTTTTGTATCAGATATTTCCTAAAAAGGAAATTAAATTGTGGGCGGATATTTTACGACGGATTTGTCGTCACTCAGGCCCATCGTAAGCCTGTGAATACATTTAATTTAATGTTTTTTTAGTCATCGAAATATAACCTTTACCGTCATATTTCAATATGCTAACAAGGTCAGCGTGCAACCTGCTTGGGTAATGGCACTTTTCCTCCATCAATAGCAGTAGTTGTGATGCAGAGCATGACTAACAGTCTTAGATACGCGCGAGGTAAATTACAAGGTGAAATCATTCTCATTCCCTCTGCAGATCTTCCACACGAACTCGTTTTTCAGGAGGCACATCGTGAATGTGAAATCTGTTCGTCGTCCGTGAATATGAAATAGTTCTCGTAACACCGGGGGAAAATATAAGAGTAATATTTGGGTCTCACATAAGATTTCTCTCTTCGTAAAGCATTCTTCTCTTCGTAATTTGAATGCGAGAGGGTCAAACCAAATGGAGCATTAACTTTACTCTTGGAACTTGCGAAGGTTTATTTGCTGTTACTAGTCTTATTTTCGTATCGTGCTGCTTAATGATGCCGTATTTCTACATTTATATTTGAATAGTTCAGTTCCTGCCTTATGCTCGCAGAAATTATTTCAGAGCGGAACGTTAACTTCCTGTTTCAAAAGTCCCCAGGCTCTTGGGTACTCCGCATTGCTTGAAACAACGCGCTCTGAAGCGCAATAGAACAGGGGCGATCGTAATGAAGCCTCTCCGGCAAGAGAATACCTCATCGCGAGCTTAATCAGTCATTTCCTGCAGCGTTGCTCGGCACCGGTGCCAACGCTGTGCAGCGCCCTTGTGTTCCTTTAGCATTTGAAGTAAACTGTTTGCTCGTAAATAGTTAACGGCCGATTCTGCCAGAGCGAAGGTAGGCGGTGTTCTGCGTAAGGGATTTAAATAAAACGCGGCGCGTTGCGTTTTACTGCCGGCGCCGCCGTAAAGGAGCGCGCCGGGGAGGTCGTCTGGGCGCGCACGGAAATGTACAGCGTCTGCGCTGGGCGCTTTCGACGTTTCCTTTCAGTAAATATAGTAATAATATACATGTTGCGAATTTTCATGTATTGTTTGCTTAGTAC